AGTTGCCTACCTCGGTCATGTCTTCAGACACGAGAGATACGATTTATTGCAACTCATTATGATGGGCAAAATTGCGGGGAAACGTCGAGTAGGCCGTCGGAAAAAGTCATGGCTTCGAAACATCCGCGAGTGGACCGGTGTCAAGAGCGCCGCGGAATTGTTTCACCTCGCCAGGGACAAAGCGAGGTTTTCAAGGCTGATGTCCAACCTTCAGTAATTGGAGAGGAACACGAAGAAGAAGACTGAAAAATAAGCCTAACCTTCCACAAGACGTAAAAGACGACTACCCCAAAGAAATCCTAGACAAACGCAAACAACAGCCACAAGTAGAAGAAGAAATAAAGAAAAGAAATATCGCCTATATAAAATACGACAAGCTCATCGTAAGAAGCCAAAAAAAAAAATAGAGAGAAGAGGAAAAGAGATACTTCCGACTCACAAAAGGCACCATTAGAAAAGAACAACCCACCACCCACACTACCCAAAACACATGCTAGAGAAATCATAAGACCCAACATACTAAACTATGTAGAAAGAGCAAGCTCTGATTCACAAATAAATCTCACAAAAAACTAAATATGCCCCCGGATCACCGGAATCAAATGATAAATACACCAATAATTAACTAAATACTCAAACAATCAACAAAATGTATTCCACCACGGCTGGTCCCCGCGGAAGACTTAGACCATCACCCTTTAGCAAGAATAAAAAACAAAAGGAATGAAAACAAGTTATACATAGCAACTCTAAACACCAGAATCTTTATCAGAACTTGAGGAAGCATTGAAGGACCTGAAATGAGATATTTTAGGAATTAGTGAAATGAGAAGAACAGGAGAATGTATTGCAGAGCACCAGGACTTCCTATTATTCAACAAAGGAGACATCCAAGGTCAAGGAGGGGTCGGATTCATAGTTAAAAAGCACCTAAAAGAACACATAATAGAATTCGTAGGAATCAATAACCGAATGGCCATACTCAACAGTAAACTACCTAGCTTCAAGAAAACATGGACAATTATTTATCCAAGGCTATGCTCCTACGGAGCAAGCAGATGAACCTAAACATGAATCTTTTTACAACGACCTATCCCAAGCTATTAATATAATTACTCAAAAAACATAATTATACTAATGGGAGATTTTAATGCGCAAGTGGGAATGAAACAATGTAAAGAAGAATATGTTATAGGTAAATTTGGCTACGGCAAAAGAAGCAAAAATGGGCAAAGACTGGTTGAATTCTTACTAGAACACAATCTTACCCTCCTAAATAGTATTTTTAAAAAAAACAAAAGCAACAAGTGGAGCTAGATCTCTCCAGGCGGGAACCATAGAAACGAAATAGATTATACTATAAGCAGCCACCCAAATTTATTTACAAACAGCAGTTATATCAAAATTAAACTTTAATACCGACCACCGTATGGTAAGGGTGGCACTCAAGACTATTCCACTCAGAAGATCCAGAAAGTTTGCTAAAAATGACACACTCCCGACACACAGCACAGAACTTAACAAAACAATGGAAAATTCCTTATCAATACTCAGCAGAGAACTACAAACATCAGTTTGTAGTTCTCTGCATTGCATCAGCAATAGATGTAAAAACAAGCTACAACAAACTACAAAACAAAATAACATGTCGAAGTGACCAAAAAAGGACACAACAAAAATACAACCTAAGTGATTCAACACTACAACTTATAAAACATAGAAAAAGTTTACTTGACTGCAAAATAAGGAAACGAAACATCCAGAAAATAACTGACTTTAGTAAAAAAATCAGAGAAGGCATCAAAAAGGACAGGAAGGCCAAAAGGTTGCATACTCTAGAAAAACATATAGCGAGGACAGGAGGAACTAGAAAAGCTCTAAAAGAACTCCGAGAATCAAACCAATGGATCCCAAAATTGAAAAACAACCAAAAAACGTAACAGGCCGAAAGAACATCAATAAAATAGCTACAAAATTCTATCGCAATCTATATTCCAACCGAGACACCACTACATATGTAAGTCGAGAAACCCTAAATTATATTCCGCTCTTAGTGAACCCAGAACCTAACATATTACCCAGTGAATCTAAGAAAGCCAAAAGCTAAGCCAAAAGTTAGACAAAGCACCAGGTCCTGATAAAATCACAAACGAGCTACTGAGAGGAACCGTAGAGGAAGTGGTCCCCATTTTAACTAAAATTTTCAACGGCATCATGAGAACGGGACAGGTTCCAGAACAATGGGAGACATCCCACATCATTCTCATACATAAAAAATAAAGGACAAAAAGACGGCATAGGGAACTACAGACCAATAAGTCTGATGTCTAAAATATATAAAATTTTCTCCAAAGTTATTTTAGACCGAATAAGCAACACACTTGACGAAAACCAACCGATGGAACAAGCTGACTTTAGGAAAAACTTCTCCACGATAGATCACATTCACACAGTCAAGCAAATTATGGAAAAATACAACGAGTAAAATAAACCGCTATATATGGCCTTTATCGATTATACTAAGGCATTTGATAGCATTAGCCACACAGCCATATGGGAGAGCTTACGAAACCAGGGAATCCCGACAGTTTACATAAACACCATTAGAAACATTTACTCCAACAGTAAGACAAGAGTACAACTGGAAACCTTGGGCGAAACATTTCAAGTTAAAAGAGGCGTCAGACAGGGCGACCCGATGTCCCCAAAGCTGTTCTCGACGGTGCTGGAAAACATATTTCGAAAGCTGATCTGGGACCAACATGGATTAAATATAGACGGTCAAAAATTAAACCATCTTAGATTCGCTGACGATATTATTTTGTTTGAAGAACAACCAGGGATCCTAGAAAAAATGATACAAGATCTAAATAAAGAGAGCGAGAAAGTGGGCTTAACTATGAATATAAACAAAACGAAGCCATTAACGTATTTAAACAAATATGAAATAAAAATCAACAACCAACCTGTTGAATATGTCAAAAATTATCTCACATACAGACACAACTACAAAAAAAATCAAAGACGAATAGCTAACTGATGGAAAAGATATCGGTCACTGAAAGAGATCATGAAAGCCACAGAGCTTAGTGTTGGTATCAAAAGGAAGGTCTTCAATACCTGCGTTTCCCCATGTATTACATATGGATGCGAAACCTGGGCTCTTACGAAACATCACAGAAACATGCTGGAACACTGCCAAAGAGGTATGGAACGAAGTATGATAGGTATTAAGAAACAAGATAAAATACGAAACACCGTCATAAGAAGTAAGACACAAGTCACAGACATACTTACTAGAATAGATAGTTTGAAGTGGAGATGGACTGGGCACAGGCTACGCGGTACACAAGAGAAGTGGAGCAATATTATAACAGACTGGTACCCTAGAGATGGGAGAAGGAACAGAGAACGACAAAGCAAGAGGTGGGAGGACGAACTAAAACTGACAGCAGGCCCAAAATGGAGAAGGGTTGCTAGAGACAGAGTGCAATGGAAACTGTTAGAGGAGGCCTTTGCCAAGAGGCACACTGAACTCAGGGATGTTTTATAACTAAAGAGACAAACACAGTACAAAGAAAGAAGAAAGTAGTTCAGGATAAGAGGCTTATTATTATCTCTTATCTAATAGACAAGTCCGTCCGTCCGTCCGTGGTGCTGTTTCAGCGGCCAAACCGTAAGAGATAGATAAAGAGAATGTTTAAGTTATAAGTTGAGAATAGTCTGATAAGACTACAAACCGGATGTGAGTAACTTAGCACTTCCGGTTTTCGAGAAATCACGTGATTTCTATTTCAAACGAAACCACACAAAATCTCCGAAGATCTCAATTTTTTTTTCTTTTTTTTTTTGGTGAACATTTGGTTCACTGGTTTGCTAGTTATTATTAATTAACGAATAACAGGACTTAGTGATAACATTATATTATAAAGGATAGGTAGTTACAATGGACTCATTTAGCAGAGTGCTGAAATTAATGTCTCTTATTCCAATAAAGACCTGTTTGTGATTACGATCAGAAGGATTTTATCTTAATTGGTAATCAAATATATTGTTAATTATAATTTGGATTGGGTTTGGATTTAAAGTATTGATTTTATTCCGGTTGAAACAATGAAGTTCATTCACAGTGACAATTTACTGAATTTTGTGGGCTGAGTGATAATTAATTAACATGGGCTTTTACAATGTTAAATTATTTTGGGTATCGCGTATATATATCATTTTAAGATTTTTTTTAATTACATTTTGCTATGTGTTTTAAATTTTGAAAACTTCCAGATCAACAATGAAAGGATTGCAAATAAAAAAGTTTATTAAAACTAAAATTTAGCGGTGACATATGTAATTTATTCTACGATCAAACCACTTTTACTTAGTGTTTTCATTAAATACAGTCAATTGCACCAGAGTTTTAACTTGGGTTAATTAAAAACCACACATGTGAGATTATAAGCAGAGTTTTCACAATCCATCTTCAGTTTCCCTTGGTTTTAATGTATAATTTAGCTGCATTAATGATTTTTTTGAGGAACCTGATTTCGAGGAGCTCGATGGCGCGGATGGTTAGTTAAGCAACTTTCGCAGGGGTCGGTCATTGGATGGGTGACCAGAAATCTTCTATCTCGAATTCCTCCGTGCTTCGAAAGGCACGTTAAGCCGTTGATCCCGGCTGCATCTGAGATCGTTACCACCTGCCAAGCCGCACTGGGCTCGCGTGGTGGATCATGGCGCAATCTCCCTATTCCATCTATAGGGAAGGCCTGTGCCCCAGCAGTGGGGGGGGGGGGGGCATTAATAGGTTGATGATGATGATTTTATAATATGATAATGATTTTTTTACCACACTTTATTTATTTATTTTTGTTTCCGTGCAACTAATTTTGCCTCTTACTTATTATTGCATCTGTCCCGTTAAAATAAAATGACAAATATGTTTTTGTATGGTAGGATAATTAAAAGCTGATTTATTTATAAAAATAATTAAGTGAAAAACTTACGTGGAATTAAAATTGTCCAGGACGATCGTCCCTCTTTTCTCGTCCTTTCCCATTATGAAGCGCTACCTATAAATAAACAGAAAAAATGTAAACTTTCTGTATGTCTCAATACAACTTATTTTTTTTCTATTTTAATTTCCTGTAAGTTTGTTTGTCATGAAAATGTATTAATTATTCGCAAGTCAATTACATAAAAGTTATGTATTATTATAATAGAACAGCTGGGGAAAAAATATGCAAAAGGGTATAAAATGTTTGTTGTATATACCCTGACCCAACCCCCTACCCCGTGAAAGCCTGGAAGCGTGTTGTCTTCTGTAAGGTGGAGGTTGCTTCTCTAGACGGGCGCTCCAATTCGAGCGGGAATTTTTTTACTCTTAATGCCATTGGAGGAACTGGCGAACAAAATGCTATAATTACGCATCTGGGGGCCATTCGCCTAACGGAATTGCTTTGTAAAACGCTAACGCTTTCGATTTCATTTTGTTATTTCTGACCGCCGAAGGTTTTCAAATAACTCACGCTTATTTTCTTTAATATTGTTATTACCAATGCAAAAGAAAAAAAAACAGCGCGAGGCATTTGAAAACGTCAGGCGGCTAGAAATAACAAAATGAAATCGTAAGCGTTAGCGTTTTCCTAAGCATTTCCATTAGGCGAATGGCCCCCTGGTCAAACTATTTTTTTACAGTCCCGAGGTTACGAGTCCGTTGAATTTGAATCACAAATAATTTTCAATCAAAACCGCCTAAAACAGTGTTAATATTACTTAATTTATAAATTAAAAACCATGCCAAAAGCTCACTGTTGGTATGTCATTCAGTTTTACATATACAACTCCTGTAAAATTTAATTTTATATAATTATACCGCATTGTTCGTCAGCTCCTCATTTTTGGTGGACCAAATTTCTGCATATACTAACTCTTCGTAGTTTTCTCATAAATAAACAGATCAACAACGTGTACATGCAAAACTTACACTGAATTACAATTCGTCGGAACATTTCATAAAATATATTTATCGAATTAGTTGGTTTTCTATATATGACGTGTGAAATAACTTCTTTAAACATCAATATAATCATGAAAGTCCAATTAAACTATACACGTAGCTACAATGAAACAACAGGTAAGCAGGAATCAAGTACCGGTATATGTTAACAAGAAAACAATATTACTGTGAAATGTGAAGGCGTTTGTCAAATCAAAACTTCGGTTACAACGCGTCACGCAAGCTCTTTCACATGTAGCCTCCGCCCTCTGCTTCCCAATTAAAACTGTCAACTAAAAGTTATTCTTAGACTAAGTGCTCAAAGCATTATTCATAAGAAAAATTATATTCGAACCATAATGCGTTTTTGTTTTCTTTGGATTTATGATGACGGAGAACCGTTTTCCGCTTCTTTCCCGGAATAAAGTGATTTTTCTTAATCACTTAATAAGATTCACCATTTAAGTGCCTACCACAAAGAAAAGGAACTTCCAGCAGCAAAAAAAAATTAAGGGTTATAATAGAATCCCCGCTCTATTGCTAAGCATCTGTTGTCCGTCTGTCAATCGCCATCTTGTGAATAGTTACAATTTTTATATTTAAGCATGTAACTGTTTGATGTCGAAATCTAAATAAAATATTACTAGAAAAAAAGAAGCCGGCAGAAGTAAAAACTTGAATATTAACGTTGTGCATTTTTGATATTTTGGAATGGTTAGGGAATAATTTTGCACGAATTTCTTTAATTATCAGTATAAAAGTACTATCATTTATGTGGTAGAATACAATATTTATTTATTGCGCTATTGTACACAAACATGACAATTCATATGACATTAAAAAAGTTTATCTCTCAGAATAATCAACTTACATGAATCACATTTAAGCGCACCTAGCGACATCTATTGCAAAAAATGCATTTTCTTCGCAATAAAGCTGCCACCTGGACGTCCTAGATAGAAACTTATTATTATAATACGATAAAACAAAATATTACTATGTTTCGTCCAATATATTGAAAGTCAACAACCTTTCCAATTTTATTGTTTTCATCAAATTCTTGATCAGGCCACGTGTCATGACGCGATCATCCCACGTGTTTTGACGCGAGTTTAACATTTTTTACCCATACAAAAAAAAGTGTAAAACGCCGCTAAAGAAGTTTTCACTTCAAAAATGCATCTTCTTCCCAATAAAGCTGCCACCTGGACGTCCTAGATAGAGACTTATTATTATAATACGATAAAATAAAATATTATTATGTTTCGTCCAATATATTGAAAGGCAACAACCTTTCCAAATTTATTGTTTTCGTCAGATCCCCGATCAGGCCACGTGTCATGACGCGAGTTTAACATTTTGTACCCATACAAAAAAAATTGTAAGTAACCCATCTCGTGCATGGTTGGTAGTAGGATCATGGAAAAATGGAGTGTCTTTCTATTACAGCCATAGCAATAATGTATTACCTTTGTTTTCGGCATTTCTGCTAGAGTTTATTAGCAATGGTAGCATTTTAAAATTAACCTATTATTACCCGACTGCGCAATGCAAGAGCGCGAAGCGCGACGCGCAGACAGGGTATAGTGTTTAACAGTCTATATATGTATGTTTGTTCCTTTGTGGCACACTAGATACCAAACGCGTTTACCGATTTTGATGATTCATACATCAATCGATTTGTCTTAATCATGGCAGTGCTACTAAAGATATGATAATAATCAAAAATCAATATGGAGACAACTGGGCGTCATATTGAGAGAAAGAAAAGAAAATAACTTGCCGAAATATGTCGAGTGGGGTATCATTGTCTAGATAATCAAAAATCATGTTTAGGTTTCTTACACCATTTTTCATTTAATATGATTGTGTAGGATCTACAACGATTTAAATTTGTATATTAACCACTTGCGCTTTTAATTTCAATCTTACGTTTGTATGGATCTTTGTAACTCTTTTACTCAAAAAATACTACATGGATTTTATTCAAACTAACCAATAATAAAGCTCATACATAATAATAGCATGAAGATTTTAATTTATGTTGTTATTTGGTAAATTGGCCAAAATATAACAATAAGTGTCACGTGACACGGAAGAAATCTCCCATCTGCGAGCCATTTTGGCCTGCACTGCAAAAACAATAAAAGTTACATGAATATAATGTATGGTGGAATTGTATCTCTTATAATAGTTCTACAAAAAAGGTAAATTTAAAAAATCAAAAAACCCGACTGTTTAGTTATACTTCAAATAAAAACTGAAAAGAAAAAAACAAGTCCAGTAGTCTATAATTCTGTTAATAAGGAACAAAGCTACTTTAACAGTCGGGACCCATTAGATATTCAAGAATACATAATATTTTTCAATAATGGGTCCCGACTGTTAAAGTAGCTTTGTTCCTTATTAACAGAATTATAGACTACTGGACTTGTTTTTTTCTTTTCAGTTTTTATTTGAAGTATAATTAAACAGTCGGGTTTTTTGATTTTTTAAATTTACCTTTTTTATTTAACACTTTTAGTTGGATAGTATTTTAAGACGGTATATACCGTAGTCTTGTTACTTCAGTAAGGGAATTAATATCGCGGGAATTATTAAGTATCTTGCGCTGGTCTAAAAGATTGATTTATTAAGACATATAGAGACTTTACCAGCGGGGTTAAGGCTACAGATGGTCCTCAATTTTCGCAAAAATGTGTGAAGTTAACAGTTAAAGTAGTAAGTTAAATCAAGTCTTTACCTATATATCTAATGTATGTAAATTTTATAGTAAACTGGCACTTATTCAAAAAGTCGCCTTTTGTTTATGTTCTTTTTAGTAGTTTAGCAGTATATATAAAATTCATTCGTCGGCTATTTAAAATTGGCAGTGGCTGCATTGTCATGTCAACGTCCGGCTCTAAGATTGTGATATACACAAATGCAAGGTCATATCCTGGTCCCATAATTTGATATAGCTTACATAATTCACAGAAACCCAATATGTAGATGCCAGAAGTTAACTTCAAATGTTGTTAATCACCCTATATACAATACCAATCAATGACGTTTATGTCGCAGGTTGAAGAAAGCAGTAATTCCCGTCTGTTGTTTTGAACAGTGGTAGCAACTGCTTTAGATCGCTAAATTAAATAATTATGCAATCACCAAAGCAAAGGATATAATATTTGATTAAACTAAAATCGCATAATAAATTTTTCATAAAGTTAGGTAGAGCATAGCAATCTCATTTATTATCAATTTATAGTTTTATTGGTAGTGTAAAGCTCGAATGAAGAGTATATTTCCACCTATCTATACTAATCCTAACTATCTATACTAATATTATAAAGAGGCAAGATTTTTATGTTTGTAACAAATAGTCTGTCAAACTACTGAACCAATATGATAGCTGCATTATTTATTATTACATTTTTTTATTTAAATACATTTTGTCCGAGTGACATAGGCTATATTTTATCCCGATAAAATAAATTTCGCCCGTACAATGCCCGGGTGGATCACTAGTAAGTATAATATTATAGATGCGAAATCGATTATAATGAATTCCCCTATAGAAGTAGATGGGAACTTGGTTCTTAGCTACAACATCGCAATACTTATAGGCGTAGGGTGATGAAAGGGGTGATTTACCTATAAAAATCCATATTATTTACTTTGAATTTTGCAGAATTATCGGTTATAATTATAAAACCAATATAATCGCGAGCTGATTAATAAATACAGGGATTCCAATAAGTATGTACCTACTAGCGAAAAATGGGTTATTTGTCATTATATTAAGTAAACCTTTTTTGTAACATTAAGTAATATCGTTAAAAAAACAGTATAATCCTGAGTTTTTCATTAAAATTCAATAATCATAAATTTTTAATTAATAAGAAGGAACTGTATCACAGTTTTATTGTAAGGTAAGTACTTCGTATAGGATCAGATACTGCGAGTAGCCCATTTTTTTCCTTTTTCGCCTAGGTTTTATCCACGTTTTTAAACACCTAAATTAAATTTCTTCTCTTAGTATTCCTCCCGCAGTTTACTCCTTCTCTCAGTATTACCGCGCTATCACTTTGTCATCGTTTTAACTTTTTAAATATTTGTCGAAATGACATAGTGTAAAAGGCAA